ATTTTCATCAAGGAAATTATTTTGGTGCAAAAACATCTCTAAGGTGAGGACGTTTCTCCATTAACGAAGAAATCAACGGAGAGTGTCAACAAGGAAGAGGGGTTGACTGTGTGAAATGGGGGAATGGGGATGTGAGGCCGTGAGGTGAGGGTGAGGTGAGTGAGCCCTAAATGGGATGGGATCCACTACTTTGGAACGTGGTGAAACTAATTTTTCAACTTATTATACCATGACATGTTTGTATATATATAATTAATTTATTTATTATTAGTAAAACGGTTCGGTTCGGTTCGGTTCCGGTCGATTCGGTTCGGTTCTGTTCCGGCCGGTTCTTGTTCATTCAAAATCGAAATCGGAACCGGCTTGAACGGTCCAGTTCTGTTTTTGACTCAAAGTTGACTTTTTTGGTCAACACAGTTCTTTTCAGTTTTTTTTTTTTCATATGGTTAGATGCGGTTTTGTGGTTTGACAGTTTTTATGCCCACCTCTAATCAGATGACAAATTTTTTTGGTTCAACATTAGTGAAGCTCTTTTTTTTTAATCGACGATGCATGTGAAGTTGAGAAAGGCTTGAAGGAGCTGGAGTCAAGACAAAATAAATTTTAATTTAAAAATTAAAACAATAAACCTTGAATTAATACGCATATGGTGACATGGGTTCCATTTCCATATTCCATCCAAGACCACTGTGAACAAAATGTGAGATTTTGGCATTTTACCATTCACGTTTTGCAGTGTACACAACTACAAATGATGCCAATAAATGATGACACATGCCCACCCCCACAAAGGAGGAAACCGAGGGCCGAGAGAGATTTTTAGAGCAACTCCACCCCTATCCACTTTGCGCCAGCACCCAGCCCATTTATCCACTTAATTGAACAGTAACAGACTCAATGAACAGTAATAGGCCAAAGCATCTCCACCCCAAAAAAAAATATGCTGGCACCTAGTCTAAAAATGCGCTGGCACAAACGATCTCCACCCCTACAAAATGCGCTGGCGCCCAGTCCATTTAAAATATTAAATAATTTTTTTATAAAATAATAAAAAAAATAGTTTTAATTTCGGATATGATTTTTAACCAATCTCGTCACGCCACGTGTCATTATCCGAACGTACTATTTTTTTAATAGATTTCCGCTAAGATTTTCAACCAATCCCGACAACCCACGTGTCACTTCCTGTTTACAATAATTTAGGCAAGATTTCGATAAGATTTTTAACCAATCTCGTCACGCCACGTGTCATTATCCGAACGTACTATTTTTTGAATAGATTTCCGCTAAGATTTTTAACCAATCTCGTCACGCCACGTGTCATTATCCGAACGTACTATTTTTTGAATAGATTTCCGCTAAGATTTTCAACCAATCACGTAGTGCCACGTGGCATTGTCCAGAACCTCATCTTCTTTTTTTTTGTCCATATAAACCCTACATCCCTACATCCATCCTCACACTAAACTCAATCCATTTTTTTAGCTCAGAATTCTTCTTTATCATTTTCAAATCTTGAGTTCTTACAATGTCTTCTTCAAGGAGAGCGTATAAACAGTTGCAAGAGCAGCAGAAAAGGTTGTTGGCACAACAGGAAGAATTGGTCAATCTTGACCAAGGTGGAGGTGGAGATGAGGCCTTCGCAATGGAGGAGGATGACGATGATCACCATAGAAGGCGGAGGGCCTCACATTCCCGCCGTATCATGCAAGCTATGGGTCAGATAGCCAAACCCGGACGTGCGGCAAACATCGATAGAAGAAGGGAAAGACGAGGTAAAGATCTCTTGGAAGATTATTTTATTCCCAACAGCGTTTACCCTGATCATGTTTTTAGACGTCGTTTTAGAATGCAACGAAGTTTGTTCGCTAAAATCATGAGTGATGTTTGCAACCATGATCCATATTTTGTGCAAAAAGAGGATGCTTTTCATGTTCTAGGTCTTCTTCCTGAGCAAAAAATTACGGCTGCCTTGCGAATGCTTGCATATGGAGCATCCGCAGATCAAGTGGATGAGATCGCAAGGATGGGAAAAACAACAGTTCTGGAGTCCCTGATGCGGTTTTGCTCTGCAATTGAAGCCCTCTACACCAATGAGTACCTTCGGCAACCCACGCCAAGGGACATGCAAAGGCTTCTTAGGAAGGCTGAGATGCGAGGCTTCCCTGGCATGATTGGAAGCATCGACTGCATGCACTGGACATGGAAAAACTGTCCAAGTGCGTGGCAAGGAGCTTATGGCGACAGAAAAGGAGCCAAAAGCATCATTCTGGAAGCGGTGGCTTCTTTTGATACATGGATTTGGCATGCTTTTTTTGGTGTTCCAGGAGCTCAGAATGACCTAAATGTCCTTGCCCAATCTCCAGTGTTTGACGAACTGCTACAAGGGCGTGGGCCGAGATGCACATATTGGGTTAATGGTACTAAATACGAGGGACCATACTACCTTGCAGATGGTATTTACCCAAGGTGGTCAACATTTGTCAAAACAGTGCCACACCCGCAGAGTGAAAAAGAGAAACACTTCGCAAAGTGTCAAGAAGGGTGTAGGAAGGATGTCGAGCGTTGTTTTGGTATCCTGCAAGCTCGTTGGGATATGTGTAGGAAGGGTGTAAGAAATTACATAACAAATTAAATAAAGTTCTAAAAATAAATAAGAAATTACATAAGAAATTAAATAAAGTTCTAAAAATAAATAAGAAATTACATAAGAAATTACATAAGAAATTAAATAAAGTCTGTGGAGTTAGGATATGTGGTGCTAGGATCTTGGTTGCTAGGATTTCTGTAGCTGGAACCCCCTTGACTTGTTTCGGCATCTCTTGCACGCCTCCTTCGCACGACATCTCTTTTTTCTGATGTCCAAAAATATTTTGAATTCGGAGACAGTCCTACTAGAGACTTGTTCATAGTGTCACGATCTGTTTGAGCCATCCTTTCTTCTCTAAGCATCTCATTCTCTCGATGAAGTGCTTCTCTAATCATCTCGTTCTCTCGATTAACTATTTCTCTTTGTCTCTCAGTCGCCGCATCACGAGCCTCAGTAGCTGCAATAATTGCTGCCACAGCAGCAGCTTTTTCCTCATCTCTAGCCTTTTCCCATGCCATGTTCATTTCACCTTGACGAGTAAGTTCCTCCATATATTTAGTGTAGTCATTTTTGGAAGAACTACCTTTTTTCTTTGATGCCTTTTTACCTTGAGGCCTGAGGGACTGACGAGTCGGTTGGGTCTCTGGCACTTGTTCAGGCATCCCTTCCGTGTCTTCAAATGTGTTGGCTTCTTGTTCGGCTGTGTCTGCTTCTGGCGAACTGTGTAGACCCATACCGTGCATGACAACTTCTGGACCGGTTGCCACAATTTTGTATCTAGGGCAATCTTTGACAATTTGCCAACATTCCCATTTGTTGAATGATTTGTTATGGTTCTTTGCATTGTAGAATGCTTGTGCTTGTAGTGTCTATAAAAATTACATAAAAATTACATAAGAATTGTGGAATTCATAAAAATTATATAAAAATTACATAAAAATTACATAAGTATTTGGAATGCATATTACATAAAAATTACATAAGAAATTAAATAAGAATTGTGGAATGCATAAAAATTACATAAGTATTTGGAATGCATATTACATAAAAATTACATAAGAAATTAAATAAATTAAAATATTGATGTGGGTGGAATGCATATAAATAAATAAAAATATTGTTACCTCATCCGCTAAACTTGTCCCACTACGCAAATTACCAGAAGCATGAGAGAGGGCGTTTTTCCAACAAGTAAAGGATGCGTTGAGTTTTTTCCAACGACCTTGAAGACCTTGACTAGATCTGGCATCTTTTCCATGTACATCTTTTCCATGTACATCGTTGAACGATTTCGTAATTTTACTCCACATTTCTCGCTTATCCATCTCATTACCCGTAATCGGGTCATGAGTAGTGCGAACCCAACATTCACACAACGTAACATCTTCACTGAGCTTCCACGAAGTCATTTTTTTCTCTCAAAGTGTACAAAATATTCAAATGTAGAAAGTGTAGAAAGTGTAGAAAATATTGAAATGTAGTGTAAGGTGGAAGATGAGGGTTAGGTATTTATAGAAATAAAAAATGTATTTTTTAAAATTTTTCTGTATTTTTTTAAAAATTTTTGACATTTTTTAATTATTTTTTAATAAATTTTAATGTTGTAATTAATCGGGACCGTTGGATTTGAAAAATAATCAAATCCAACAGCACTCATTACGCCACGTGGCCAACGGTCAAATTTCTGACCGTTGGGCCTTTTTTTTTTTTTTTTTTAATTTTTGGTGAAATAAACGTGGACCGTTGATCTGTGATCGGACGGTCCAATTTAAAATTGAAATTTAAATTTTTTTTACCGTTGGAAATCCAACGGCCTAAAAAACTAGCCGTTGGAAATCCAACGGCTCTGACGAGGCCACGTTGCCTTCACCCGGGCGACCGCAAGTGGGTCTGCACGCGGGCCCCAGCGCCTGTCTTCTTGTCGGCTACTCGCCTGGGCAGCCGCGTGTGTTGCACGCGCCAGCAAAACAGGCCGGCTTCTGGGTCTGTCCATTTTGGGCTGGGCAACAGACTGGCACGGGCTGGGTGCCAGTCAAATGTGCGGGCTGGAGCAGAAAAATGTGGTGCCAGTCCATTTTCTTCACTTGGTGCCAGTCCATTTAGCATGGGCTGGAGTTGCTCTTAGATGCAACCGAAGATATATATTATTTATGTACAACTCTTGTTAGGTAATGAAATCGGAGCATATATCCTTGATTACACTTGCAAATCTCTCCTAAGGTGGGTTCATGACCATTTATTTCTACTTCCCTCTGTACGTTATAGAGAGAGAGAGAGAGAGAGAGAGAGAGAGAGAGACTAACAACGGATGCATGCATGATATGGAATGGATGAACATGTTCATGTTATTGGCCATCTGGCAAGACAGAAATTTCCAAGAAAAAAAATGTAACGTATAATTTCATGATGGTGAAAATTAGAATGGTTGGCAACTTTTATTTCCTTATTATCACCAGCGATAAACATCTTACATGACATTGTTTTATCGGTTTCAGATACCTTCACAACTTTGATGGGCAAGTTTCTCTCCTCTTGCGGACGCCTAAGCCTCCTGCAGGGCTTTCCTCTTAGGGCTACCAGTAGGTTGATGGGCTCTTGTGCACTCTTCTTTTGGGGCTAGTAAAGTTGGGACATTTTTCTTTTCTATGGATTGGGCTTAGATGGATCTGGTCCTATAGGCTTCAGTGCAGGGCCTACCAAATGGGATATCCAAACTGAATCCTTCACTTCAAATGTTGGTTTTCACCAGCAGTTCTTGCAGGAGCAATTCCCATCATTAAAATGGTGAAACCTTTTTGAATCTCTTAAGATGATAGCCCTTCCAGTAGCTTGAGACACAAGCTTCATAAACTCATGGCAATCTCCGCAAACACGGATGTTCTTTATGATCCTTATGGGTATCCTTGCATTAGGTTTTTTGATTAAACCAAATGCAAGAGCAAGTTTCTCGCTGTGATAACAGATGGACTCAAACTTCTCCTCCTCCCCAGCGTTATGAAGAACCAGTTTCGTGTTGGGAGTAAACCCAGATTCCTGCAGTTTCCTTATCAGTTTGTTTAGTTCCTCATAAATTTGTTGTGTTTCTGGATGAGTTCGGTCTTCTGATGAAAATTTGTGAACATTGTTTTCAATCTCAATCCAACTGTAAGCAGGAAACTTCTTGACATGCTTGTCCTTCATGAGAGACCTTATACGCGCCACGTCTTCCCATCTTCCAGAAGTAGCATACATGTTGGAGAGTATGATGTATGGTCCAGCACCGAGTGGCTCAAATTTAAAGAGATGCTTAGCTGCTATCTTGGCATGTTCAATGTCACCTTTCACTGCGCAAACAGATAGAAGAGTCGACCAAATCAAGCTATTCGGTTCATAAGGCATAGTTTCAATAAGACATACTGCTTTGTTTATGCAACCTGATTGGCCAAAGAGACACACCATACATGCATAATGATCCATAGTGGGAGCCGTACCACTTCGTTCACTTATTGAATCGAAATACTTCTGTCCTTCTTCAATCAAATTAGCATGGACACAAGCAGATAAAACACCTACGAAAGTAACATTATTTGGCTTTATGTCTTCTTGTAGCATGTTCTCATATAGGGATAAGGCTTCTAGGTCCTTCCCATTTTGTGCATATCCTGTAATCAAAGCATTCCAAGAAACCACATTCCGTGACGGCATCAATTCAAAAACCACACAAGCATCTTCAGTAACTCCACATTTGCAATACATATCAACCAGAGCACTAGACACAAGCAAATTATTAACGACTCCCATATGCACTGCCTTTCCATGAACAACCTGTCCATGATACAAATACGATAACTTTGCACAGGTACTAACTATACTTGAGATGGTAAAACTATCAGGCCTGACATTTTCCAATAGCATCTTACCGAACAATATCAAAGCATCCTCTTCTCTGCCAACCTGCGCATATCCTACTATCATTGTTGTCCAACAAATCTTATCCTTCTCCTTGATCCCATCAAATTCCTTCTTTGCTTCTACTATATTTCCGGTTTGAAAGTAAGCACTGATAACATTGGACACCGCAACCTGGTCAGGCTTCAAACCTGATGCTTGCATTGCACGAAACAAATCAATGCATTTTTCAGGCTGCCCGTTTTTCAAATACCTGAAAATCATCAAATTCCAGGACACCACATCCTTATCAACCAACCAATCAAACAACCACCGAGCCTGATCAATGCCACTGCACTTGGCGTACATATCGATCAACGCATTCAAAAGAAACTCATTGCCTTCCAAATTACGAACAACCACTCTCCCATGAATTTGCTTCCCAATCCTAAAATTCAGCAATCTGGTACAAGCTTGCAACATGCTCACAAAAGTATGCTCCGAAGGCTCGAGTCCTTCTTCTTGCATTTTCACAAAAGCCTCCAACGCCTTGCTCAAACACCCATTAGCCACAGCACCAGCAATCACCGTATTGTACGAGACCAAATCCCGCGAAGGCATCTGATCAAACATTGTCCCCAATTCCTCAAGGGACCCGGATTTCGCATAAGCAGAAAGCATGGAATTCCACGAGTAAATGTCTCTCTTGGGCATTTTGTCGAACAGGTTGCGGGCGTCAGCAAGATTTCCGTATTTTGCATAGAGCTGGAGGATCCTGTTATGGACGAAAGTCTTGGTGGGCTGAAACGAGTGAAGGTCCATGTGAGATTGCAACCTCTTCGCTGCGGCGACATCGTTGGCTCGAACGCATTTGAGCACGAGCCGCGTGTAGGTCTCGGCGGTGGCGCTGCCGCGCGAGAACAATAGGTCTATGGCGCCACGGAGACTCTGCCTAGCTTTCATAATTTTACCGCTTTGAATTTGAAATTACAGGGATCCGTTATATGGCCTCACTCGCCTTTGAAAATGGGTAAAGTTCTCCACTTTTTTTTTTTTTTTTTTTTTTTTTTTTTTTGAACAAACGATATTATCTACCTTAAGACCATCTCCAATAATGACTTATAACCTAAAATTCCCCCTTTTTTTCCCCTCAAAACCCACTCCAACCCATGTGCTAAATAAAACCTAAAACCCAAAACTTAAAAGAAGGCCAAATACCAGCCCGTTTTTAGGCCAAAAGTCATTATGGACCCTACCTGTTGTGAGTGAAACACGGGCTGTGAAGCCCACTTTCCCTTCCGCCAGACGCGCACGCGCCCCTTTTTGCAATCAGCCGACAGCCCCACGTGGGGCTGTTCCCTCAGCTTTCAAAGCAAAAGTAGCCGTTAGGTTAATCCAATGGTGACTTTAAATGGGCCGTTGGTTAATCCAACGGTCCAGGTTCAAATTTTTTTTTTTTAGTTTTATATTTATGTATTTATTGAATCCAATGGCTTAAATCAAATATAATTAAATATAACGGTAAAAAAAAAATCTAACGGTCCAAATTTAAATCCAACGGCTAGAATAATTTAAAAAAATTATTTAACCTAAAATTCAACCAAAAACTCTATAAATACCTATGTATTTGTATCCGTCGGCAAGAAGAATCGCCCAAATGCTTTTGGCCATGAAGGAACAAGGGGATAGGGAGCAAGAAAGGTACGAAACTAATTTGATAATGGAGGACCTCGACAAATACACTTCAGAGAGGAAGAGATACTTACGTGGTAAGCAAAAGGAAATTTTACGAAGGAATGCCACAAGGAGTATATTTCAAGATGATGATTCATCTCAAGACTATCACCCAAGTCCATCACCAAGTCAAGATGGTGAATATCATTATTAAGTTTATGTAGTCTATGAGTTTTCGATTGTATTAAGTTTATGTAATTTATTAATTGTTTTTTTTATTTTTTAAGTTTATGTGGTTTATTAATTGTCTTTTTTATTTTTTAAGTTTAAATGGTTTATTAAATGTCGTTGGTATTAAGTTTATGTGGTTTATCTTGATTTTCATGTATTGATTTAGTGATTTTTCAAAATTTATCGGAATTTAAATATTTTTAGGTTAAAATGTTCATAAAATTAATTTAGGATAGTCTACATAAATTTTTTTTTTAAAAAGTTAATTTAAAAAAAATAGCCTTAATTTATTCTTTGATAATCTGGGGCTAAAATTTTAAGCCAGAAGGGTTGAAGTAGAAAAGCTGTTTCTGGGCTAAAACCTAAATTTTCTGGGCTAAATATTTTTAGGCTTTAGGTCACTATTGGAGATGGTCTAAGAGAAAAGTGTTGGGCTAAACTTACCTATACCGTAATTTAAGTCAGGCCCACCCCAAGCTTCATGTGCCAATAGTCATTTTGGACCAATGACTCGTCCAATTTCTTGTTCCGTCTTAAAATATTCAATAATAACTTACATGCAGCAAGAGATTCTACTATGAAATAACTCAAGCCAATTTAGTACTATATGTAAAAGAAAAGATAAAACGCATGGTATTACGTAATTGGCTTGGAATAGTTTCACAGTAAAAACTCTGGTATATGTTAGTTTATGAAACGTTCTTTAGGTCGACATGACTTGATATAAGTGGCTTATGTAGTCATTATTTTTATTATTTTTTCTCAATTATGTTGCTTAGTTTATTTTGTTTTTGAGTCATTTATTTCCTTTTCTTGTACTTTGTAGGTCAACTGGACCAAAAAGAGAGAAATGAAGAATTCTGAAGAAGTGGATGCAATTCATGTTATGTGCTGGAAGGGTTGTACATATATGTCTACTGGAATAATTTGTCGAGAACAACTAAAACAACCAAGTACGAACTAGGTGATGAGCCATATATGGATGAAAAACTCTAGATGGTATTTTTGAAGAATTTTACATTTCGTGATTTCAATGTCTGATGTGAAATTATTAAATTTTTAGTGATTACTACTCAGTTTAAAAATCTCTATTGGATTACGTGATAATCTTATGGTATAGGACGTGATTGGCTTGTAAGATTGCCATATTTTCAAGTTGCGGGTCGAGTATTTAGAGAGATATTAGACATGTGGTAACCAATTGAGCTTGGGAGAGAGATAACCTTATTAGATTATTGGGCTTTCCTTGTGCAATGTGGACTTGGAACCCAATTGATTTTAGATCAAGACTACAGAGGGGAACAAAAATGAGCTTTTGATCGTGAACTTTTGGGTGGTGGGGGGGGATGCTGCTGTGGTTTAGAATTCGTATGGCTGTTTTATTTTCCGTTCAAATTTGGTTCAAAACATTAGCTCTTCATCAAGGGATCAAGCACGTCTCCACCTTTACCTCATTTGTTGCCGTTTTCTATCATCATCTCTTACTTATGCTTGTACTACTTGTATAGTTGAAAATCAAAGTACGCATAATAAACAAATAAATAAATGGACTTCAAACGGATATAATTATATTAAACTGAAAAATAAGTAATGACATGATGGCTAAAAATCAAATGACTGCATTGTAATTGACTTGTATCAACTGAATAATAAAACATTTGTAGGGAGCTAACCCTAATCCCTAATAGGCAAGGAATCCAAATCCTTAACCTACAATATAACCTAAGACGTAAAATACCAAAATATATTGTAAATAATAATAAACCAAAATGCAAAATAATTAAACTTTTGTTTTGCTTATGTTGTTGAAAAATTTGTTTATATTTTGAATTGATGTCTAGCTAAACTAATGTCCTAAGGTTAGGATGAAGCACTTGATTGTCAATGCAAACTTGATGCGACTTTCATATCTTTGTTCTTGAATCTCTAAACATGATATATCATTGATTATCTTTGGCTTGATGCTTATATGTCATTATTATGTGGATATTTGTGTTTGATTGTGTCAAGTGACCATCTTACTTAACATATAACCACAATAATTTAGAGGTTGCATATGACAAGAGCTAGACATAGACTTGTATGATTTGTATGTTTATCGTTTCCACAAAGCTTATGGATTCTTGTATGTTAAACTGGACCCCAACCATAGGCTAGTTGCATACAAAGATACTTGACTTTTGCCATGCTTATTAGGAGACTTCTGAAGGGAAACAATTACATATTGAGTTGGATCAAAACCTTTTTGTAGGTAAAGTTTAAGAACCATATTTGGAATTGTATGAATGATGCATTGACTTGAGAGAGTAATACCACTAGACTTTTCACTTACAAGTGAAGAGAAATATTTAATATATTCGAATTAAGACATGTCACATGCAAATGAAGATAAATACTAATAGATCATTGTATTAAGGGCACACCAAGCAATATATCAAATTTTGAGAAACCCCCATAAATTAAAGGACATTACAAAATCAAACGGGGAATTAGAACCACTGTTTCGATTGAGTACCTTGAATGGACAAGTTCAGAAGAGATTTGCATAGGCATTCGGTCAATTAAAACTGCTATTGCTACGCCAAATTATAATCTTACAATACTCCAACGCTGCAAGTGGAAGCAGCAGGTACTGCTAAGTGCTCTTGCTGCTTCATAGTATTTACGGTGAAGATCTCAGAGATCTTTTTACCTTTTTGGTAGATACAGGAGCGAAACGATAAACCTATTGATAATGAAAGACTAAAAAGATTCAAGAGGGATTAGTAGTAAAAGTAAATAACTCCTGTTCATCTTTTCCTCCAAGGTCTTCTCAAGTGCTTTAGCTTGAGCTACTACCTCTGCCACGATGACGTTCTTGCTTCTTTCTCGGTCAATTGGAAATATGGACTGTAGCAGTTCAAGAAATCGGTCGGTAGGTCCTTCCTCTAGTTCAAGAGTTCAGAGTACTTGCTTTGCGGTCCGTCCATTAGTTCGATCAATGCATCATCTCTTGAGTCCAAAGAAATTCACAGGCGATGGGTTTTGGCTTTACACACAGTAAACACGTCGACACTGGCGAAGAAACAGCGCAGATCGACTGCTGCAGCCTATGATTTCCAACACGCCGTTTCATCTCTTTTGAGAAACGACGCCCCTTTGGCCGGACTTCTGTTGGCGGTCGGGTCTTCAAAACACAAAACGAATGAACACAAAATGAAAAAAAAAATGATGATATAGAAGTCGTGTGTTTGATACCTTTTTGATAAAATTTGACCTGTTTGCATGATTTGTTACTATAAAAAAAAACTTACAATGCTTGTTAAATAAGCACTAGATGCTTCTGTTTATAACAATATCCGAGTTATTTGAGATATTGGAGCAAGTTAAACACTTTCTCGTTCTCCTACTTACCGCGCGTATGTTCAAACCAATATGCAAGAAATTATGCTGGAACATGAAGTTATTGGATCAAAACAGGTAGTTCTGGTCATTTATATGGGGTAAATTTTTTTAACAGATTGAGCTCTTAATTAACTAATTAATTAAACAGATATTTGTACAAAGGTTTAATAAGTATAATCCAAAAAGTAAGCTTTGTGAATCCGGTCCTAATTTGTGCTCAAACTAGTGATGATCGAGATGCTGCAATAAATTATCCACCAGCCACGAGTTATTAAAAGATAAAATTGTAGAATGAATTTGAAGAGTAAGTGTATTAGTTAATTAGTGCATGGTATTAAAAATATTGATCAAGTTTAATAAAATCAATCAACGTGGTTTCTTTTGGTTGTGCGAAGTTGGATTTGTGGCGTAAGATATTTAAAGTATTATGTTTGTTAATATTATGAATGATGATCAAAATCTATCACGATGAGCTCTAACACAGCTAATACATTACATGAACACACGATTGAGATAAAGTGACGGCAACGTCTTAGCTAATTATGAATTAATAATATATACAATCATACAAATACAAACAATATGTATAATATAACGAATCAAAAGGAAGGCCTATTTCCTGTTTGACGTGCAAAATTGTGCCAAATGGAAATACTCTCCCAAATTCCCAATATCTTACTTACAATTTTATAATATTATGCCAAATGCAGGCCCCGTGTGCCATTAAGTCCTGCCTGCCTAATTTGATATATGGCATCCACTTTCAGAATTAGA